ACGTTATTATTTTAGTATCATAATATTCCTTTATGCCAAATACCGTAATTTGTATAATGATCGCAGATAGACCGTTGTATTAGCCACGTTAATTATTAGTTATTTTGACGATATTACTATCAGCTAACAATAGTAGAATTACAATAAATGATTTAGATGCATATCATTATTGATTTTGTTAATTGATGACATTACTAGCCGTTCAATAATTATCGTTTGTTATTCAATGTCTAATGGATTAACTGCATTATTACTTGATTTTATGTTCAATCTGATCATGAAGTAACGCCTTAAGTGAATCATTAATAAGTAGAGATGTAGCAATGGTTGCCGAAAGTCATGCATAAAGCCAGCATATATTATAGGATTTATAGCACTATGGCAGAAAGTGATGGTGTTTGCAGCTGTCAGTATGATATAATAGTTTAAATAAAGAGTTAATGGCAAATTTTTGTAGTAAAGTGAAGTGAGGAGGCACGTATACCATGGTATCCAGCACATTATAAACATCATATTGACCAGTATAGCCATTTTGATGGTTTTTCTTGTAGCCTTAATGTAGGTTTGAGATATTCTTTCATCGCTATTCCTAGATCGTCGCCGCAGAATAATGAGTAAGCGATAATATATCACACTGACTATAAATAGAGGGGCTACAAAAAGCATTCCAAAAGTAATTGCAGAGAAAACCTGTAATTTCTTGACGTCAGATGCCAAATTGGATGAAAAGGTTAAAGTACATTGCGGTAATGCCGGTAGAGAGGTATCGTAAGCGGTATATATCATAAATGGAATAGTACCTACGAAGGAAATGGCAAAAATGATTACCGTTACAACCTTTTTCGGTATTTGTCGACGAACTGGACTTGCAGCGTATAGTACAACCCAGTAGCGATCCATGGCGATAGCTACCATCGTTGCAATTGAGCCGATCGTTAATAAAACGGCTAAGTTATTTAGTAAATAGCATAAAAGTGAGCCGAAGGGCCAAAAAAATTTTAAATTTCGAACCGTAAATGTTGGCAATATAATTAAAATGACTAAAATGTCATATATGCCTAAATTTAGAATTAAGTAGTACATCAATGAATTATATTTATTTCTTCTAATCCTTGTTAGTGTTGCTATGACACATAAGTTTCCTAGCAAACCAACTGTAAAAATTACTGCAGTCGCTAGACTAAGGCCAATACGAAATATTTTTACTTGATAGAAAAATCCTTGACTGATAATGGAGCCGCTTATATTACTTGTCATGATTTTAATTTGCTATTGCCCACGCATGAAAAAAAAAAATATATTCTAGTAAATACGGGTATCGCATACGCGTATGTAGGCCAGTTGTTGTAGTTCTGCTATCGTTATAATAACTTTAATGGATCATTTCTAACATCGTATGGCAATTGTTGGCACATTTGTAACTGTAGCTGAAGATAGATTCCATTGCACACTAACAATATTTCCTAGATGAGCATCAATTTTGCTTGTTCACTGACTGAATAGGTAGCACTCTTTGTTGGCCTTATGCATATACCTAGAAAATGGAGATAAGCTATTGCTTCTATTATGACAAACTATTAAATCGATGAGCAAAATCGCTCTCCATCAGTAATACGCATACTCGCTAATAGGGTTCGAGAAAATACCTAAAAGTTTTTGTGTCTACGAACACTTAACTTAAGTGTCGTAATAGTAAAGGCATACTTGTACGCCTAATATTAACGGCTGCTTTAGAACAGATATGGATTGCTTTCACTTGATGCCCTGTTTACAGTCGATAGTAATAATTATTAATAAGTAATATTAAATTATTTATTTGAGTGATGATGATGTCGTTTAGGTATTTTATTGTGAAATAACTGTTTCTCTCCTTATATCAAATATCCCTTAACACCTTCACGGGGGTCATGAGTTGAACAAATTAATAATTCCTAGTCCTGACCATGGACATGAAGGATTCGTTTCGCGGTTTCTTTTATTATTCTTATGGTGAAAGACGATAGCGAAACTGCTAACCGTTAGTATGTTTGGTGATCCACGTCCTAATTGAAACTAACAACTATATTCTTTGTGATGCTATGCTCTAGTATCATTCTACGAATACTCCATCATGATGAGCCCCTATTTCCTGTTATGGCCTTGATCAAGAATTCAAGGTTATTCTCTTGGGTGTTGCTGTTATTGGCTAACGCCGGAAATTAGGTCAAATTTGGACGGACAGACATTAAGCTAAATTTGATCACCAAATTGTGCCCAACACTTCATTATGACAGTACTTTAGTGTGTAGACAGTCGATTCTGAATTGATTGATTTTTCTAAATAAAGTCATATTAAATTGTATTGTATTTGGTGTTAGTAAGCTCTGCTTTGAAGTAGTCACTTTAGATCATCAATGTTGGTCCAATTAATGAGAATGATTTGGAAAACGGACACGGAAGAGCCATACTGAGTAATTATTTTTCGATATTTTCGCCTGGCTCTGGTATGCAAAGTCCGTCCATCCGAGGAAAGGGTGCAGTACTGTACTTCTAGCAGTTCCTAACAGCACAGGATACAGGATACTGTATACAGTATAAAGTATATTTTCTCTTCCAGTTTGTACTGTACACTGTACACTGTACAGTACAGTGTGTACAGTACAGTCACGCACTCTTTCAGTCCAAGGAAAGTCAGTCCAGGGTCAGTCCATGTATTGCTAGCAGTTCCTAACAGTACAGGATACAGTATACTGTACAGTACCATACAAAGCGTACTGTACTTTACCATTCAAAGCGTTGTTTCTCTTCTCTTCTAGTTTGTACTGTAATTATAGACGACAGTACTGTAGAATACTGTACTGTACACTGTACTGTACAGTACAGTACAGTACAGTACTGTAGATTCAGTGATTCACTGTACTGTACTGTACAGTACACTGTACAGTACACTGAGTACAGTACAGTCAGGCACTCTTTCAGTCCAAGGAACAGTAATTCATGACCGGGAAGACAGACAGACTTTTCTGATCAAATAAATATCGAAAAAGACGATGCTACTTAGGATACAGTATGTCGATCTTTCGTGTCTCTTTTCTAAAGTGCTGGTACTCACTGAAATACCATTTACGACTAATTTGCACTAATTTAAATACCATTTATGATCGTATACAACTGTTCCCAAGAAGAACTCAGTACCTGTTTTAGGGGAAAATCAGTCAATTTAAAATTGACTTTTTGGATACGTAAGTACTATCATAACCAAGGGTTTGACACCTCGAATATCTTGACGAAAGGATGGAGAATATGTCTGTCCAGCAGTCCATACCACAGTAATCGTGGTACAGTACTGTGTACTGTAGTCCAGAGTCTACAGATTCCAACATTGCCAGAAGTACTGTAGTCATTCGGTAATACAGAATTAGCAAATTGTTTTCTTGCAAAACATTCAAATTTTACTCTTGCTCATTGCAATTTTGAACACATTTTCGACGTACAGTCCATGCTAAATACCTCATATTGGAGCCATGACGAAACGCAAGGTGAATACGGTAATGCTACAGCTAATAGAAATTGAACGTTGTATTTTTTCTGGATGTTGAACTTCTTTCGCGCCAATATTAGTTCCAATCGTGTTGAATGAAAACAGGCAGCGGAGTTGAAGTAGGCTCTAGTCTGTCTGCATATCTGTCTTTTTGCAGATGATAATCTGAGAGATACAGGATTGCAATACTGCCTGTATTGATTATGAAATGCCGAAGATCGATTAAATTGAATGTTGTCCTGTATTTTTCAATTCCTATTTACTCATTAAAAGTGAAATTTTAACTTGGCTAAGTGATCCCATTTTGACTTTGTTAATGTTAATAATCTTTTTTTCGTTATATTGATCTACAGAAACCTTGTACTAGAAGTACCAAGAGAAGAGCCAGTAATATTCGTGAAAAGATTGCTACGAGATCAGGTGAGTATTTGCATAATCATGCTTTATATGTCAAGTTCTGATACGTAAAGTATTTATCTAAATCTTATACCATCGTATTGGTACACTACTTTTTGGTATCTTTCTCGTAGGCTGATACAATTCTGTTATTGATACTTCCATGACATACTGTATTCGTAGTATAGGACCATGAAATTATTATTTAATCATGAATATCTTGTATAATAATAATAATAATAATAATAGTAGTAATAGTATATCGTAATCTATTTACCATAGACTTTGCTGGTATGATTTTAAGTTACAAACCAATTCACTTGAATCTACTGATGATAAATAAATCGTTACGTTTGATTAGCTGACACAAAATGTTCGATCGAAAGCGACAGGACAAGCTGTAATCCGGACCTTGAAATACCTTCTCATTCTCAAGAATATGAAGGCAATCATTCTAAAGCAGTTAATTCCTTTAAAATATCTTCAAATAAGAGGCAAAAACTGAAAAAAACAAATGATATTCCTGCAAACAATGAAGAGGTGATTGCTTTATCTATAGCTCTATCGTTTAGGGCCGTAATTCAATCCATAGCATGTTTCTCGTATTAGTAATTTACACAGGAAATGCTAGTTGTCTTTCGCTACATGACCTATAGGATATAGTAATTTTTACACTATCACTGTTGTTGCTGACAAACGCGTATGGACACATGTCTACTTGTAGATTTCTATTCTTTCGCTACATGACCTATAGGATATAGTAATTTTTACACTATCACTGTTGTTGCTGACAAACGCGTATGGACACATGTCTACTTGTAGATTTCTATTAGTGAAAACGTTAGCCATGAATCATCTCCAAAGACAAAGCTAAAGTCCGATATGAAACTCGCATCGATACCCACTTTAGATGGATTACCTCCAAGCTTTGACGTCGAATTATTTACTAAAGCTATTGCTAATAGCCAGCTCATGATTGTAAATATTATTATATATTTCTTTTTTTGGAATTAATCAGATTTATACTTTCAAAAATTGATTTAAATATCAACAATATTTCTAGGAAAGGAGCTCAGATAATTTTGGAACATCTAGAATTAAGTGTATCCAATTTGGAAGCCACGAGATCGAGACCTGGCATGTTTCTCCATATCCGGAGGACATTACTGAGTTAAACAAAATTTTTATCTGTGAATTTTGCCTTCGTTACATGAAAAGTGCTACTACATTACAATATCATATGGTATTTTACTTTCATTATATTATTTGACTTTAATATTAAAATTCTATTACTCAATTTTTCATACTACACTACATACGAATGTTTTGCTGCAATTGTATTTCAGGGTAAATGCAATGTCTATCACCCACCTGGAATTGAAATTTATAGAAAAGATAACTTATCAGTCTTTGAAGTTGATGGAAATAAGCAGAAGGTAAGTTATCACTCCTGTATAAGATTTAGTGCTTTTGTATCAGTAACATTCTACTTTATAAATGTTAGGAATACTGTAGGAACTTATGCTTGCTGGCGAAATTATTTCTTGACCATAAGACTTTGTTTCACGATGTTGAACCATTCTTGTTTTATGTCATGGCTCATTATGATACCTTTGGCTATCATATGATCGGCTATTTCTCGAAGGTGTGAAATCATTTTCGTGGCATTAATAATGTCATTAAAAGCATCTGAATTTTACGAGTATATACTGCATACATTATGTCCAGATATGCGTATTGCTAATGTCGCGTCTCTACCTTTAATAATTTGCCTCTAACAGGAAAAGCGATCAGAATGTAATTACAACTTGTCATGCATCATGATTTTACCCCAATATATGAAGCAAGGCTACGGAAAAATGCTAATCGATTTCAGTAAGAAATAAGATTGCGTTACCGGGCTAGAATTTCTCTTTACTTTGTTAATCTCACTTTTGAAACTTATATAGTTAATTTAAATTGTCTATCTATTAATCTTTTGCTAGGTTACTTGCTATCAAGGCTGAAGGACAGATGTGGGTCGCCTGAGAGACCGCTTTCTGACTTGGGCCTTTTAAGCTATCGTAGTTACTGGAAAAGTATTATTTTACAACATCTACAACGATATAATAAAGAAGAAATTTCGTTAAAAGGTTAATTAGTAATAGCAATAAATTTAGCAAGGTGCAAAGTCTTTTATAAAAATTTACGAGATTTACTTCTAACTGTAATTGCTGACGTAAGGAAATATTAATTTATAGAAATTAGCCAGGATACTGCTGTCCATACCTCTGATCTGATTAGTACGCTGCAATCGCTTGATATGCTTAAGTATTGGAAAGGAATGCATTTAATTCATATTAAGGAGGTGACTTGCTGTACTTTCATGTGTAATATTTCGATAAGATAAAAAACGAATGGAAATTGTTAATTGTACTGTATTTGATCGTATCATGTAAAAGATTGACAGCGATTTGATAAATTTTCGATAGGACCTTATGAAAGAATTTTCAAAGAAGAATAGGTGTCGACCTGGAATTGCTATTGATCCTACGGCTTTAAAGTGGTCTACGACAAATAGCAGAGAATGATTTTTAATACCCTATATTTCGCTATGTGCATACCGTATTTCTTATCATATAGTTGATCCATTGTTAACTCTTTAAACCATTTCTGTTTATGTCTTGACTTGGACCCTGATATTTCCTCTTTGATAATTCGTACCGAGTAATCATTGCAATTAATGTACGGTAGTAGGTGACAGTGTATAACACTTCTTGTAAAAAAAACTTTGGTTTATAATTCGTATATTTAACAACTTAAAAATATGTCGTAAAAGTATTTAATAACTGGATTTTCTATTCTGAGATAGTTGAATTTGTATTAAATTGATTAATGAATAAGTGGTGCTGTGAATGCTATTATATTCTTTCCAGTTTAAGATGCCATGTAATTTTGAGGAAATATAATGTAATTGTACGACTGATATATATATATATGTAGATTTATTTCATTTAGATGTTAACATAACTGCTTAATGATACTGAAATCAAAGTATATCCTTAAGGTTATGTCTGTCCAATTTTCATGATCATGAAGGAATTAATATTAAATAGTAGCCATTTGGGATAGTAGAAAGGATTAAATATTGTGTTATTGTTGCAATTACTAATGGGTCGTGGCAATGATATTTAACTTTGCGGCACTGCTGTCATGCTACGAATACTGTAACAAATGTTCCTTGGCTTACTTATTTAAAGGCCATTAAGAATAGTAGCTACACGGAAAAAAACTATAATATCTGAGAGTGTAATCAATTTGATGATTTCATGGGTGATGCGCATACTTCCAGACAAATTACGATCATAAACACTTTCTTAGCAATTTCTACATGATCCTTGCAGCATCCAAGCGAAAGTTAATTGTGCCAAGTTCTTTTGCATCCCAAGAATAAAAGACATGGAAATATTATAAATTATCAATGATTGTTACGTACTTGTATGTATACAAGATTAGCAACGTAACCCTTTATTGATTTAAAGTATAATAATTGCAATTTAGAATTACTCAAGCCGATTTTAATTGTGATTAAGAATCGATCCGTACCAATATAGTATTCATTAACTTGATATCACAGAATATAGTCTAAGACTACGCCAAACTGCGACGTGAAATGTAATATTTATACAATACGATAGAAACTGCAGCTGGCATTTCACTAGACAATATATAAATCGCCTAGAGATGGTTAGACTGTTAGAGCTACATTTTGGTATGGTATGCATACAATTGTAATTGGACATTATATGAAGACATAATGGCAATTATTTGAAGTAAATGATGGGATCATTAAATACCGGCAGCAACACTTATATAAGTTAAATACACTTTAGTTTGGATAGTATAATTGGTAATAATTGAAAGTTCTACTACGAAGTACAGGTCAACGACAGCAGATTACCTGACCATGTAATAACTATAAATGTGCGGAGAAGATTATCAAATTCATCTATGTACAAATGAGTATGCTGAGGCACCTTGAATTTAATAGAGATTTATGATGTTGCACAAGCAAAATGAACGCCTTCGCCATCGATATCGGAAGCGCTCGAATCTGTTGAATCATTCGAATCATCGCTGTCATCAGAGCTGTCATCACCTTGCTGCATAGCCTACGATTATTTCGGTTTTAGTAGCAAAATATTACAATGATGTTAAATTAATAATTCGCAACTCGAACAAAGTTTAACAAGAAATATCATCTTATACGTGTACCTGATAATATCGCATTCGACGAAGAAATCGAGTTATCAGCTCTTCACTAATCGGGTCTATCGGACCATCAACTAAATATTCTTCTCGTCGTTGTTTATTTGCTTCAGTAACCTAGTGAACAGCATTAATATCCATTACGATGTTAAATGAATATGAATTTAATATGCTGTATTATAAATAAAAAATTATAAACTTATATAAAATATATATTTACCGAATCTAGAGATGCTAAATCATTTCGTTTGTTGGACGTTGGCGTCCACAATTTAACGTCGCTGTCTATTCCACTGGTGGCTAACATACAAATGCTCGGATGAGGCTCCAATACATTTACCTAATATATATATTAAATAAGGCACAAGAATTCTAGATTGATAACGAGTAAGCTTGATGAACAATGGTTAATGATAAAGTCCTTAATAAGTACTTATAAAATTCAAGAAAATATATTAGCACATGGAAAGCCTACCGCTCCTGTCTTATCTCCAACTACACATTGAACTATTTCTTCAGATTCCTTATGCCAAAAAAAGATATGACCACAGTCGCTACCACTAACAACGTACTCGCTCTTTAAACCAAAAAAGTTAACTCCTTTGACTAGATCAAAAGCAATATTGATTAACAAAGTGTCTTGGATAGGTAATCATTAAAATAGCGAAATGAGTTCGCATTCAGGGAACATTAAACAAAAGACTAGATTTTCATTACCGGTAGCGTTATTTTGGTGTCCTGTGTATCGCTTGATATATTCGGCACCGTCGCTAGTAACACAATTATTTCATGATGATGAGTAAATTATCAATCAGAAAAATTCTCTAATTCAGCGTTTAGCTGATATTGCGCGCCTCAACAATATCGAAAGTAAAAATGAGGCAATGCCAAATGGAGGCATACTTCCTTACCTATGACTACTATCAAATAGGTAGATGTCATCATCGTTATAGCTTAGAAGTAGTTCTAAACGTAGAAATTTAACTTAATTATTCAGTTGTAAATAAATGACAATACAATCACATTAACTACTGATTTGAATATAATTTAAACTTGTACCTGAACCATCATAACTGTACACAAGACAGGTGATATTCGGTCGATGTGCATATGATCGATTCATCTTTAAAAAATCACAATATATGCCGCATTAGAATATTGCTAAAATTACGATGGAACAGCAAGTAATCGGTGTTAGGGTAGGAGCGACAATAAATCTAAATGTAATATCTCAACAGTATTAAGAGATATTACTAACTATAGATTCAGAATTAAAAATAATACTTACGAAAAAATGAGGAGAAAATTTTTTAACAGGGTCAATTTCATTCTAAAGAAATAAGTAATACTTATATATATCGTATAAGATATATACATTACGCGCTCGTAATATATAATTAATCGATCAGTAAATTACGTATGATCTGAATGTAGGATATCCAAATACAACGTCATGACGTAACTATCACAACAATTGTAGCAGTTTCAAAACATCAGTTTAATATAGATAATAAAATTAGGAGCTTATACATTATATGAATGGATTGATAACTGTCGTCCTTTCATAGCCTCACTAGCTAATTCTAGCATTACAGTCTATTCTTAAAATGCTGGCGTCACATCGGTCAGGAGTTACATACCGAGTCGATTTTACGCCTATCATAAATTCTACAACAAATAAATTAGTAATTCCGTTATAATGACAGTTTGAAATTGTTGAACGCTTTATGCAATAAACCAATTCTGCTTTATCAACTCACCTTGCATACTGATCACGGCCAGCAACAGCAAACTCAAATTCATTGGTTGGATTAATGTCAATCGTATACAAGCCAACTTTGTTGTTTCTTTCATTTCGGCAAGTGAGTAATCTGAATAAAATGTCATAGAATCATTCTTTATTCTACCTGCCCAAAGCTTATCTTGGTACAATTGTGTTAAGTTTGAAATTACAGCAGATTCGTTGATGCTGAAAGTCATAAAACTCCTCTAACGCTAACTGGGGCAATGCGCTGCCTTATACTACATTTAAGAAGTGTACATTGCTTTAAGTCAGAGTATACAGCTACAAACTTGATCGGCTTTTCCTGTCTGACGTCCACAAGCTGAACTAAAGAATCTTCACCGCAGCTGAGAAATACATAGCTGGAATTGGGTGCAATAGCTAACTATATAGTAAATTACAAAATGAGAAATCATTAGCGGGTATTGTCATGTAAACAGTATCAAAAGATAATAAATATTCGCTAAACACCTTAAAATAAATGATTTATAGAGATAGAGTATAGCTAATTATAACCTTATGAGCAGCTCCTCGATGATTTGCAATTTTTCGACTAGGTTGTCCACTGCCTGAGTTACTAATTTGCGATAATCTTACCTATTATTATATAACAATGTAATTGAGATTATCATCTCGCAATAAAAGTGAGAATTAAAGGTAGATAAATTGGTGCTACAATATCACCTGACCATCACGCGCACATGAGACGATGTTGATACCAGAAGAGAGCGGTAAGAACTTGGACTAATGTTAATTAATATTAAATATTAGGAATCAAACCACAATATAAAATCGATTAGTTTGCATAGTATTATTTCTGAAATAAAAAGTCTGTAATGATATTTCTAAACTAGATCTAGTTAAATTTAACTTTAATTGTCTATAATTATTTGGTTATCATTATTGAGAAAGCAAGAAGCATTTTTAGACAATCTGCTGAGACATACAGTAGTTCGTGGTAGATAATTAGTTATACGCGTATAATGCGATTGCATACAGTAGATTGAAGTACGATGGTTTTCTCTACTTTACTAGATATCTTAGCCAAAGAGATCAGCAGCTGATTGTGGCTTAACTGTTATTTAATGTAATTCAATTTATTAACTTTTAATCGCTGTTACCCTATAGCATCAAATTAGTTTTACGATGTACCTGAAATACATTACTCCGATGGCCAGTCTCAATAACATGATGTTCTTTTCCTTTTGCCCAATCCCAAAGAACAATGTTTAAGTCATCACTACCAGAAGCTAGAAATGTTCCACAAGGGCTAAAATTTAAGGCATTTACACAACCATCATGATGCTCTAATTTCTTATCCAGTTGCAATCTTTGAATAAACTGTAGTCCACTATATGCTAGACATTGAAAATTGTAATTATTCTGATTGCCAAATTGCCGACTGATCAAATTTCTTGCGGCTGTCCATTTTGAAGATCGGTTCATCATTTTCTGGTAATTTACTGTAAAATAATCAATTAGACTATAATCAATTTGGAATACAATTCTAATTGACTCTATGGAGTAATACGGCGAGATTTAAGATATAATGGCTAAAAGTCAAGCAATACAGAGGATAGCATAGACGATATATCAGAAGATGCCTATCCAGGAACTACCTACAATACAGTACACTGTATAAAGTACAATATTACTGCATCGTGCCATTAATTTTATTTTACGATCGACCGAAGAGTTTCGTAAAGTGCTCGCAGAAAATCACGATGGGTTGGGTAAAGTAAAATCTGCGCCAATTAAATGGATGAATCTCTCTTATAAAGTAGCTTGATTTCATTGATAATTATGCTTCACAATTTTCCGTGATTGCATTTAATTCCCCATGGTCAATCGACCAGTCACCTCAAGGGAATGGCCGATTCCCGATTTGTCGAATGAAACTCCATCGAGAGTCGATTTAATGTTCAATGTTCTCAACTCGCACACTCATTATGTGGCATATCGCGGCTAGAAAGAAATAAATAAGCATGTTTCCATCTACGTCTAGATGATATTTAATGGGTGGGATAGCGCAGCTCTCGACGAGCAATTGCCCTGAATGTGTACCACCCGGAAGGGGGGAATATAGTAAACATCATCAAAGCAAATATGCTGTACAGCAGATGCAACGTCCTATACATGCAACTTTCCATAATAAATGGACTTTCCATGCTGTAGTGTTACAACTTGTGCATACCTGATCGTCTCTTTCCATTGGATCGACTATGTTTTAACTGGAATGATAAGATTATCGGTTTAACAACTACTACCGTTTCCTATTCTTCCTTTCATAATAAGTCTCCATTACAGTATTTTCTATCGTCCAGTCGTCAACACTTACCGGCTTGAAAGCGAATTGCAGGGATAAGGTAATGGCCAACAACGAATGATTTCTCGCTATAACGATTGCCTTTGCAATTGGGAACACAACCTATCAGTGTTGTTTGTAACTCGGATGTACTGAAAGCTTGAATAAACCACAAATAGTCAACAATTATCAACGATAAGGTAGCAAACTTTGTTTCATCTTTCTTGCAAGTAAGCGCCCCATCTCCATAACATTGTTGACATCTTCTATGCTGCCAAGAGCGTCCTTTTCTAACCTCCCTTACTTAACATACTGCACAGTGTACTGTACACTGTACAGTAGTACTATGCTACGGATGTTGTCTGTCCGTGCACCATATGGCAAGGACAACTGGAAGAAGATCTCAGGCATGGGACAAAATCTTAAAATTTGGTCCCCCTTTTCCCCTTAGCGCCTGATCAGAAAGGTGTAGACGTACACTAAAGCTACTAAAGTCTTCCTCTTTAGTTTTATCCCCTACTGTACTACGAGGTAAAAGGAAGGAAACATTGGAAAATCCGAGTACTTTATGGTCAGAATTGACATGACAGTGCTTTACTTACAAGCAGTCTAGTGCGTACTGGACGACTTAGGCATGTTGGAAGACTTTGTCGCCTCTTTCGAAATAGCCGAATGGAATGGGGAACACTATTTGTAGCTCCTCGGCTCGATTTCTTCAGTGATTATTAGTAAAACAATACTCTATTGCTGTGATGCAGGATAGTGTTTTACTAACTTTAGCAAAGAGACCGAATTTAATCGAAGTGTACTGTACATACTGAGTTCTGTCAATTTATGGTATAGAAATCATAGTCTTCACATTCATACTTTGTAGCCATGGAAAGTGTAAATACTCCAATACTGTTCCAGTGTTATACACTGTAGTATCGAAATTGAAGTAGAAATATTTCTTGAATGAGTTTCTAATTTAATACTTGACTTTCAGCTTAGTGTAATCTTGAATAACTACAGCACAGTGGAATACTCACCAGTATCGGCTGGATCTTGCTGTATTTCATATTACTTTTTGCTCGTTCTATCATATAGTCTTAGTCATAGAAATTATTAACGAAACCATAGAGTTAAGGTTAAAGAAAAAGTTTTCCTAACCTCTACGTATGAACAAATGAAAGCTAGTCTACAGTACAGTATGTAAGCTGACATGATATTGCGGTACTGTACACTAGTGTACAGTACTGTGACAGTGTTATACGCTGTAGTATCGGAATTAGAATGGAAAGAGTTATTTAGTGAGTTTCTATTTTAGATATGTGGTGTTTAAATATAGCCCTAACTTTTATGGCAGTAATATATATATATAGGTACTGAAATTAATAGTTGAATTAGGGAATCAAGAATGATCTACTTACAATTCCAATCACTACGATTGTAACGTACTTATGATAGATCGTAGATTATCGTGGGAATATTCCGTAATAGAACGTACAAGTGATGTAATCTGACTATTATATATTAGTCATTAGATGTCTATGTTCGTTAATGCTGTTGTTTTCATTAGGTAGCTGCAGGTAAAATTAGCTTTTGATTCATTGGAAAGTTTCAACGTTCATATTACTATCTAGGATGTCGAAACTATTGTAAAAGAGTATATAAATGCGGTATACCGTAGAAAAAAGTTACTTCTTAAGATTAGTATTTAACGTAAAATACCAGGCGTCTAAATAGTCTTTGTGTAGTCTACCAGTATAGTATAGGAAAAGTGTTCCGATAAATAGTTATTGCTCCCTGATACCTACTTCAGAGAATCAACTTATTGATCATACATTAGGTTATTTTGTTGCAATGCTGTTTTGTAACATGTACACTTCTGTTCTAGCTGTACGACACAGTTAAAAAGTCTCCATCCTACCCTTGAATGCGTAGAACACTAGTAACATACGCGTTTACATACTCTCAAGCCGCAACCCACGGCTAACCATCTTACGGTTCCCTTCAAAATAGAAAACCTCGCAAGTTTAGTCATTGTGCTGTACACTTGTGCGGCATCTGAAATAGCCTCCAAATCTTCACACGGGTTCTATTTTTCGATCATTTTTCCAACTATCGTAATGTAGCTATCTAGGTGATTGCTGTTGTGGATAGATTGCTTTTGCGAACAACTGCTAGTTATACCGCACTGATTATTTCCTACACTCTGTCGTTAGCAAGTTATTCGGGCTTTGACCATATCATTGAATTTCCATTTCAGATGTTTCGTGCTCCATATACTATAAAACGTCGACAGCTGTCATTTAATGCCCGTTCGTTTGAGGCAGAGGAGGTTTCCTATGGTGATGTATGCTGCCAGTATATGTCAGTTGCTACTATACTAGAGATAATTGATTAGCTTACATTGGAGATAATTTTATTAAAGTAATGAGAGCATATTTGTGATTATATAAAGCTTTGTAACGTACATTTTCGGTCCGTCTAACTATTTTATACTCTATTCAGGTGCATAAGCTAATGTCTCGCATCGAATCATTCCCATCATGTCTATACTGCACTTGTATTTGTACTGTACTTCTATTTAATGCTAGTATTTGTAAATCCGACATTATAACGTTAAAGTGCTTATATCTTCATTCGTATAATCGCAGCTGTTACTATCCATCCGTAATTAATTATCTGTAGTAATGCAGAGTCCATACAGGATTAGGAACCGCATTGCACGTGTTACTGTCATTAATTGCTGGATAGGAAAAATACGAAATGTAAAATAGTTTTAGGTGTATCTTGCTTAACGTACATTCCCAATATGCCGGCAGTTTAAAAAAGTAATTAAAAGCTATCGGTAATTTATGCATTTTTATAGCATAACAATACACTGATATGCGTTATTGAAAACAACTGTAACATGAATAAATATAATAATTAGTTATTATTACTCATCCTGGCCTCCAAACTATCGGCCTGACCTTTATTCTCAGGAGCACTATTTCTTGTTGTTATGCGATTGATATCCAAATTGTAACAGAAATCAGCGATGACAAGTCGAAAATGGCGACATACAAAATATTTTAAGATGTACCTCCTTATATTTTTTTAGCAAAAAATTTACGTGTAATGAATGATTTATACACAAATTATTTTCATCGCTTCCGACGCGTAAAATAATTCTTTTTCATCAAGATAATCATAGGAGAAAATTTATAGGCATATATTGAATTGCGTCACATTCTGAGTATGATTATATGCTCAATATTGGATTGTTCCACTACACATAAAATAAAGTTTAGCAGAACTTGAGTAAGCGTGTAGAATTAAAAGTGCCATTGGTATCATACTTTTTTAAAAGTCACCATCAGGATTATCCCTCTAGTCATGATTATCTCGTAGACTTTTAAGAATACCTAGTAAAAAAATTTCGTAAAAGCATGGTATGGCCTTGCCACGAGGTGACTTATCCTACGAAATATTTATCTTATTTTCGTCAGATAATATATCGCTATCTATGAGGCTGGACATACTTTTCATAGACAACTACATAGTTTTATAATATTATCTATAAACTGATAATTAACGTTCATGTCTATTTCCTATAAACTGAATAAATTTACAATAAACTTTAGGTTCCTTTACGTCTAAGATAGACTAGTGTTATGTTATTGGTCCTTGTCACAAACCAGCTTCGTGACAAGGATAACGTAAAATAAATCTCTAACATTCATGAGTCATCTTATAAAAATACTTAGGTGAGAACATCTACTAACTAATTTTTCACATTCGGACTACAACATGTCCATTCACAGAATCATTTCAGTGCACATTACAGCACAGCATTAAATTTACTGCAACACATTTATAATTAGAGTAATTCCTATTGTAATATATTATCACTATATTATATTCACCAAATTTAGATAGCTATTTCTTCACGGTAGTTCGTACCGTGACAGTCCTCTTGGCGATAGGAGAGTATTTAGGGTCGTACTGTAGATTAGTGTCAGGGAGAACAAACCTGATATTAGACTTATAGTGTAATTTCTGTAATAGTTTAAAATTTTTTTGGATACAAATTGAAATTTGTAACAGGTCTACAAGTACTAGTAATATTAAAGCTATCGAGTTTTATTACAATAACAGGGATGCGGCATTGATA